GCGATGCCCACACCTCCTGGTAGAAGCCTATAGCAAGTCCTCGAAGGTCACTGAGTTCTAAAATATCACACATTCAGGCTCAGCCAAGGCACATCCCCATCAGTGCCCCAGGCAAGTGGGGTGCAGGAGGATGGCACCAGAGGACCAAGGTGTGGCAATTCAGGTGGACAACAAGAGGGACCTCACCTCTTACCCACCACTGCCAGGCCAGCGGCAGTCTTTGCCACATGGTTGAACATTTCTCTCCATAACTAGTCTGTGAACCCATCTGGCTTGGGTCTCCTTCAGTCAGGCACCACAAGCCCCAAGCTCGGGTGGCCTGGGAGGATTACTGAGTAAATGAGGAAGTTTTGTCCCCATGAATCCCTGAGACAAAGCCATCTCACAGCCTTTTCTTGGTTTTCTGTCATGGCTCTAAAGTGACTACTGAGGTAGTATCAACAAGGCACTGCAAAAAATTCGTAAAAACTGAGACCGTGGGAACATTCTCTGGGAGGTCCTTTGGCAGCCATTAGAGGCTGAGTCTTCAGAAAGCGTGGGACAAGTCCTGGTCAGGCTGGGAGGCTCCAGGCCACCAGGTGGGGACACACACCCCCAGAGAAGGGAGATGCCCTGCCGGAAAGAGGGTTTCTGATTACTTGTGACCAGCTTGTCAGCAATCCTGGAGCCATCACTTCCGCTTCCATGTTCCCCTCCTGGAGACAGGTGGCACTGAGCAGGCACAGCTAGAGGACAAGCGGGTGGATGTGAGAGGCAGGCCCTAGATTCCAGCTGGCACAAGCCTGGAGGCTGCCTCGAATGACCCACCGGCCCGCACACAAAACACATGCCTGCACACACGCAGCTCCCCTCAAAGGCCAGGACGGCCTTGTCTCTCTCCCGGCCAGAAGAGGCCTTGATGCCCACAAGGACTGCTAGTTAACTCCTGCAACTGTTTAGGGTAGTCAAGTCCCGGGAGGTTTAGCTCGTCAACTGCTCAAGTTTATAATACAAACACAGGGACAAATGCAGTGTTGTCCCCCAATCTCTCACAGCCGAAAAGGCATGGCCCCAATGCAAGCAGACTCAAGGGCTTGTGGGATTCCATTCCCACCCTGTCCTGGTCTTTGGAAGCCCTGGAGGAAGAGGGTCTCAGGAAATGAAAGTGGCCAGGGATTAATCTAGTCCTAAGAAGTTGCTGGAAGAAGAAAGTCTGTGCAGGGGTGGCTGGAGCTTATGACTGGGGAGGAAAGTGGCCGGAGAGGGTAGCAGAGGGACCAGGTGCTGTGTAGAGATTGTGCGTAAAATTGCAGTATTTCCAGAATCTCTTGCCTGGCTCCGTATCAGCAGGTGTTTCCAAGGGGTAGAGAGTAGTCCATTTCCATATCAATAGGTAATAATGCGGGCGAGCAGGGCTTATCTGGACCAGAGAGGCTTATTCAAGTAAACCTGTCTTTGTCTATCTTGCCCCAGTCCACTCCTCGCCTGGAGGGGATTTCGAATAAAACGTTCATTCTGCTTGACCACAGTCTCTCTCAGCCCTTCAATTCTTTGTTGGGGCGGGGACAGGCAGGAACAAGAACCAAGGAGAACTCAGCTCCCCGACACTACGGGATACGACTATGGTGTTTAAAAAAAAAAACCTGTTATTTACATTCTCGCTTACTCTATTTCACCGTATTTTAAGTTTAGTTATTTACACTCATTTCCAAATAAATTTATCATAAATGAGAAAAACCCTTAAGACATCTTCACCTCAATGAATATCACAAAAGCAAAAGTCACAAGTAAAACTCTTGCTTACGGAAGGCAGAAAGGGACCACCTTGGTGTAAATTTCACTGGGGGCCTCTCACCCCCAAAACTGAAGATATCCCCAGGTCACGAGGACGCAAGAACCCAGGGACCCTACCGACGCCTGTTTGCCTTCCAGGCCTTAGAGCCAAGCCCCGCCCTCGCCGAGCACCCCCCGACTCCCCAGTTGTCTCCCCACCACTGCTGAGCCCCCTCCCCCAGAACCCTGTTTTCACACCCTCACGGAACCCCCGCCCCCAGGAGCCCCGAGACCCTGTCCTCCGAGTGGCGGGGCCACACCAGGCGCGGTTCACCAGAGGCTCCGGCCGGCCTAGCTGCGCCCGAGGCTGCGGGAAGGGCGGCGGCCGCGTCTCCCCACCTTCTGCAGGTTAATCCTAGCGCCCTCTCACAGGGACGCGGCTGGGCCCCAACCCCGCTGCTCCACCGGGGGCTTTGGGGGCGGCTCCAGGTGCGAAGACCGAGGTGCAGCGGGACCACAACAGCCCGGAGTCGGCTGGGCGGAGCCTCGCGCCGTCCCGAGAGCAGCCCGGGAGTAGCCACGAGTGCGGGAGGCTCTGAGCTAACGCATGGCCTGGGCGCAGACGCGTGGCTGTGTCCGGGCTGAAGACCAACCCGCGAAAGAGAAGCTGGCAGGAGGGAGAAGGTACCGGACCCGGTGGGCGGAGCTAATATTCAGTGGGCGGGGAGCCGGGGGTTGGGCGGGGCCTCCCTGTTACCTTGTCCAGCCCTGGGAACATCCGTTAAAAGCTTTTCCTACTGCACTTTCATAGTTTGTGTATCATGCCTCCGTTCGCCCCATTCCTTCTTTAGGCTCCTAAAGTTTTAAATTTCTTCTTCAATGGGTTGTATCTTTCAATTAGGCTAACTCTTAGACACTATATATACACATATATTTCATTTTTCATTTCCCATTTGTTTATTATTGGGGAGTTCTGAGAGATGAGGGAAGTGCTCGGACTTAAATTACAGTTGTAAATCAGAGTATACAGCTGATGAGTAGATGTCTAGCAAATATTCCTTTCATTTTTCCCCTTAGGAAAGGTGAGAAGTATACAGTTTTTTTAACAACTCTTAATTCCTGTGTTGAGGATAATTTACATGGCAAATCCGGTGATATGCTGCCATCTGCTGGGGTTCAAAGGTATTGAAGCAGCCGCTCTTGAAACCAACTTTTCCTCTGTAAAAAGCTTTCCTCTCCTTTGTTCTCCCGACTGGCCTGTTTTTGAAGTCGCTTGCATGTGCTATCCCCTAAGAAATCCATTTTTCCTGGCAAAATAGCTGGTTTTATTTTTAAGGTCAACACAATCCAGCAAACAGTGAACCTGCAAAACCCAAAAAGAGAAAGAAAATACAGGCGCACCTCCCACCTTTCTCCCTACGGGCACCACTGCTTATGCCATGTACTCACTCGCAAGGACCTGTGTATAATAAATCTTGTTTTCCAAAGTTCCCTGATGGTGTTGCTGAGCTGTGTCTTGTAGTCATAATAAGAACCATAAAAGCCGGTCCAGCCACAGCACTGGCTCTGTTCAACAAGATGTCTTCTGGGGCTTGCTGCAAAAATAGGGGCCCAGGTGAGTTCCCCAGGCATTCCTAGTAGATACCATTACTATCGGATAGGTTGAGACCCCACACAAAACAGGTATGCATTTATTTCAGTCTGAGTTAGGGAGGAAACCATTCCTCTGGCTTCCTAAGCAAAGGGAATTTCAGCTAAGTGACAATCCTGATCTCTGCATATACACACCCACACATTTATTTGACTAGGGATTTGAAAGAAGGAACTGAGTTTCTTGGGTTCATGCCCTTTCTCTCTCCCTTTGGGAGTCTGCTGGACCCCAGAGAATGATTATTTTGAACAGGCTGGGACAGTGCAGCAAACATGCAGAGGAGATTTGTGGTTGACCAGCTGTGCCATGCCTGAGTAGGTCTGGCAAACTCATGGGTGAAATATCAGAAAGCCTCCTGGGAGTGCATAGGGAAGCCATGACACGCCAATCCAGTTTCTGTCATGAAGCTGGTATTTTCGTCTCTGAGTCCTGTAACTGGTCTCTAACTCTGAAGGGAAATTAAGAGAAGTCAAAACAGTTATCTCTGTGTCTGTCACCTTCCCATCCATGATTAAAACAAGTCCCAGGCAATTTTTAAAACAGGGGGCAGTCTTAAGCCCCTAGGCCCTCATCCAGAAGAAGACAACAGTCAGGGGTGGGGAAATCCAGCGATGGTGGGAGCTCTGTCTCACGTCTCACAGCCCCACCACCTCTCAGAGATCAGCCCAGAGAAGGGTCACTAAGGCAGACTAGCCACAGGACACGCCTGAAGAAAAAGGCCTCTAACCAGTAAGTGCGCTGCAGCCAGCTCACGCCAGCTTGGGATGGCCAATTGCTAAACTTTCAGGAACTTGAGAGCCAGTTGTTAAACTGTTGGTAGCCTGAAACCAGCCATGATGAGAGTGTTTACAAAACACTACAAATCAGGGCTTCCTCCACCACCACCTGGCACTGGCTGTTACACATTTCCATGTATACCACTGCCTCTCATTTCATGTCAGCTGCTCCATTCTTACTGGAAAGGCGGGGGTAAGAAAGGGAGGAAGTTTTTTCTCCCCTGGAGCTCCTTGGAACTACTCTATAAGTGGGGCAACATCAGTGAGACAGGGACCCTGGATGTCGTCAGAGTAGGGTGAGGGCCTCCAGAGGGGGCAGGGCAGGATATTTGCAGTCAGAGCCATGTAACTACATGCAAGGAACCCCCCTACTAAAACTATGTTAAACATTGAGCTCTAGAATCATTCTTCAGTGAAATCAGTTAACGTTCCCCAGATAAAGAAGAGTAGCACATGTTTTATTATGCTAATCATTTGTAACCATGTGTACGATTCACGTTAGCATACTAAAAGGCCCAGGCCTATGTGCTGTCTCTCCTCCTTCAGATCTGACGAGGTGATTTTGCAAACTGAGCAACTAACTTAGCTGCAGACCCAGCTGTAGACGGCAGGGTAAAGGGAAGGAAGAATTCCATCTTAAAGATGATTGCATTTTAACACCCAGGAAGTTCAAGAGGTAAGATTCTTTAGCAAGTAGACAATACCTCAGCCCACCTTGGGGACTGTGCAGGCAGCCTTTTGTTATGCTCCCAGACCAAGGTGCCGGTGTCCCAGAGAAATCAAGGCAGGAAATTCCTTATGTTAAGTTAATTTTTAATATTCAGGGACCACTTAAAAAGTCCACACCACTAAACTTTTTCACATTCTCAAAAAATCCTCAGCTACCTATAAAATCCCCTAGACAATGCACCTACGGACTCTCTTGTCCCCTCCTGGCGTGAGCCGGGAGCTCTGTTCTTTCACTTCATCTCTAAATAAAAGCCTGTTCCTTGCTCTCCTACCTTGACTGTTTGTGAAGCTCATTCTTCGGCTCCGCAAACAAGAACCCCAGCATCATCAGCAGAGGCCCAGTACCAGGCTGGGGTTATAGTCCCTACAACAGATCCAGATCTCTACACACCCTCCACCACAAAACAGACCTCATTTCCTCCTTTGAGAATCTCCAGTCCCCAGGCCCCAGCCTGGATCATCCCCATCCTCCAGATGCCTTAGGCTGGACCTGCCAGGTTTGCTAACAGGGCGGGACAAGTAGACCCTAATGGTGACTACATCAGCGGAGCACACTCACCCAAGTCCTCATGTGGCCAGGTGAGCAATTTCTACTCCACCTTCCAGTGGGAAAAGCATGGGAGAAACATCCAGGGCTTCTGTGACAGGTGGGCTTGGAGTAAGAAACCAGGGTGCCCGCTGGGCCCTCTTCTCCTGGCTCTGCCCTCCACGGAGCAGGCTGAGCTCTAGCAGGCCGACCGTGAGCCTGCAGAGCCCCACGCCCACCTACGCAGCTCAGATAAGGAGTAACACTCGCGGGTGGGCGCTCCTGATCACTATCTTCTGCCACCTGCATATTTCAAGTGGCTCAAACGGCAGGAAAGGAACTTGCTGAACCCCTAAAACCCGAGCCACCTGTGGGGACCCTCCAACTTCACCCTTTCATCTAACTGCACTTCCTATTGCTCATCTTTTGTTCCTGAGGCCACAGGGACCTCCTTCCTATTCCTGGAAAATGCCAAACTCATTCCCATCTCAGCATCTCTGCCTTTTCGGTCTTCCCCAGAGCTTCCCAGGGCTGTTTTCCTCGTTGCCTCTCAGGTCTTGACCAAGAGGCCTGCCTTGCCCGCACATCCTGGCCTCCAGCACATGACCCTCGCTTATTGTCTCAGAGTCCCTGAAACTACTCCACGGATGTGGTCACCTGTTTATTGCCCTGCCTTCATCTCAGATATTATCTGCTTTGTTCACTGCTGTGGCCCCAGTGCCTTGAACAGGGCTGCGAAATAGTTGGTGCTCAAGAAATGTTTGCTAATAAATGAATAAACCCAATGCACTTTTTTGAAAAAAACAAAACACAATGTATTTTCTTTAATAGCAAAATAACATACATTGTGGAAAACTTGGAAAATACAGAACACCAAATACAGAAAATAGCATGTAAAACCTTCACTAACATTTTAATTATAAAAGTGCAAGTCTCACTTGCCTTTCTCTCTGCTTCCCTTACGTGCATGTAGGCCTATGGACAATGCATGGGGTTGCACAGGCATGGGTCATTCCAGGTCTCCTGAGCAGTCTCAGCTTCTCAGGACCCCCCAGCTCCTAACCCCACCTTTCTGCATCTGTCCTGTTCCTGAGAAGGACCCTTGATCAGGGACTTTTTGGGGCCAAGCTGGTAAGAGTAAGGCTTTACAACATAACCATGAGGTAGCTATGGTCTTCCCCATATCCAGAGAGCTTGGCTGATGTCACCAAGGCCACATAGCTGGCAAACAGTGACTCCCCTTGTCTGGAGGGTTCCAAGGCCCTGGTTCTCTCTCTATGGCATTCAGACCCCCACCCAGTCTGATCACCTGCCCTCTACAAAGTGCTACTCAGAGGGTCTGGGGCTCATCAGTGGAAGCTGAGATGGGTCCCTGGGACAAGTGGTATGGTCACATCCACCAGTCCATGGACTCTTTGGGGCAGGCCCTGATGATCACCATACAGTGGGGCAGACCCTTACACAGGATCTTCTCAGCCTCCTGGCCCTCCCACCCCAGCCCCTGGAGCTCAAGGACCCTGAGTCTGGGCATGGTGAGGCAGGATGACAGGATTTCAGCCGGGGAAGGCATTTCTGGGGTGATGAGCGGGCCCAGCAGGCACAGACTCTCCAGGGCTGGCATCCCCTCCAAGATGGCCAGGCCAGGGGCAGAGAGACCCCGCACAGTCAGCCGGATCTTACGCACACCTCGGAGGTGCAGGCTGATGGCCAGGAGGGTGCTGTCGGCTGAGAGGGTGCAGCCCAGCACTTCCAGCCTCTGCAGGTAACTTAGCTCCTGCAGGCCTGCATCCAGCCCTGTCTCGGTTACGCGATAGGTGCCGCCCAGCACCAGTGAGCGCAGGGCACGGAAGCGCGTCAGGCCCTGCAGGTGCTCGTCCCGGAAGGCAGGGACGCGATCCAGCACGATGCACTCGAGCAGGGGCAGCACGGTGGGGTCCTGCTCCTTGACGAGCCAGGCCATGGAGATCTCACAGCTGTGCAGCTCCAGGGTCCTCAGCGTGCAGGGCAGGCTGGTGATGGGCACCATGCTCAGGTCGGCCACATGCAGACAGAGGCGCTGCAGGTTGGGACATTTCTGGCCCAGGGCCCTCATCAGGGTAGGAGATAGCTGGGGGGCCTGGGAGCCTAAAAACAGGTAGCCACCCATCCGCAGGGAATGGAGCCTGGACGCCATGTACCGGCGAAGCAGATGCCACATGATTTTTGGCCGCATCTGTAAGAGCCAGAGATGGGGGTGACAGGGAGGGAGATACGGAGATTTTCCAAGGCCCCTGCCTGCTTGGAGACAGTCAAGCCCCAGCTGGGGCTTTAGGGCCCCCCTGAGCTTCTGCTCTTCCCAGCCAGCTTCACCTAAGCAGACCTCTCCCCAGGAATAACAATAGAACTGAACCCCACCATTTTGACTTCTGGGTTTGAACAAAAACAATGAGGGAAAGAGAAGGTCATAACAGATGTGTCTATAGCAACACAGTGCACTCCCATTATCTTCAGAAGTAAGTGAGAAAGCAAAGCAATCCACCAGTGTTTCATCCCTTTCTTAATGACCACCTCCTGGAGAAATAAACAACACAAAACAAAACTGAAAAGGGCTAAACTGTCCATGGTAAATTTAGGTTAAAAACAAAAAACAACCTGATAACATGAAAGCTGTAAAAATTAACGCTGGGAAGTTGTTTAGGAGAAAACAAGCCAACAAAGGCAACATAACTAGCTGATAGCCCTGTAACATTTCATTGCATGTATATATTTTGTCCTTAAAAACAGAAAGGAAGTGGTTCCAGTGAGAGAGGAGGAACCAAGGAGCAGCGCGGTTGGGGGGTACCCGCCGCGGCTGCTGCCACCGCTGCCACCACCTCTGCTCGTGGCGTGGGAAGGGAAGTGTGAATCCCGGGCGCGAGCCAGTGGTGGCTCCGCTGCGCGAGGGTCGGGGGTGGGAAGGCGATGGCGGATATAGATAAACTCAGCATCGACAGCATCATCCAACGGCTGCAGGAAGTGAGAGGGTCCAAGCTTGGGGACTATGTGGCCAGGGGGTAGCAGTCATTGGAGAAGATCTGCCTCTTACTGGCTTACAAAATCAAATATCCCGAGAATTTTTTTCTTCTCAGAGGAAACCATGAATGTGCCGGCATCAGTAGAATTTATGGATTTTATGATGAATGTAAAAGATACATCATTAAACTATGGAAAACTTTCACAGACTGCTTTAACTGTTTACCGATAGCAGCCATCGTGGATGAGAAAATATTCTGCTGTCACGGAGGTTTATCACCAGATCTTCAATCTATGGAGCAGAATTATGAGACCAAATGATGCACCAGATCAAGGTCTTCTTTGTGATCTTTTGTGGTCTGACCCCAATAAAGATGTCTTAGGCGGTCTGACCCCAATAAAGATGTCTTAGGCTGGGGTGAAAATGACAGAAGAGTGTCCTTCACATTTGGTGCAGAAGTGGTTGCAAAATTTCTCCATAAGCATGATTTGGATCTTATATCTAGAGCCTATCTGGTGGTTGAAGATGGATATGAATTTTTTACAAAGAGGCAGTTGGTCACTCTGTTTTCTGCACCCAATTATTGTGGAGAGTTTGACAATGCAGGTGCCATGATGAGTGTAGACTAAACTCTCATGTGTTCTTTTCAGATTTTAAAGCCTGCAGAGAAAAAGAAGCCGAATGCCACGAGAGCCCTAACACCTCCAAGGGGTATGATCACAAAGCAAGCAAATTAATAGATGTCATTTTGACATTGCCTAGTGGGGACTTGTAACATATAGTATATAACCTTCATTTTTAAGACTGTAATGTGTATTGGTCAGCTTGCTCAAATAGTGTGTTTGTGGGGCTCCCCTTTCCATTTTTGACTGAATGAATGGTATTTGCTGGTTATAACAGCAAATGAAAGACTCTCTACTCCCAAGAAAAAAATGTTTTGTTTTTTTATTCTCTATTCCCTTTGCAAACAACTTTAATGATGGCGTTAAAGCTGTACACCCAGGGACAGTTCATGCTGTCTAAGGGGTAAGTGTACAATCGATCTTTTTTAATTCAGCTCAACCCATGAATAATGTAAATGCTCATATTCTTTAGGATATAAAGAGAGCCCTAGGGTGCTCAATCTGTATATGTTATTGTCATAAAATACATACTGTTGATACAAACCACTGTGAACATAGATTTTTTTTAACTTTTAAATTTTGTTTCAAAGGGATTGCCTTTCTCTCATCGTCTTGTCTTGTACAAACTAGTTTTTATAGCTATCAAAAGAGAATTAACTTTTCAACCTTGCCAGCATCACTCATATGTGTATTTAATGAAAGCACACTTTCCCCTACCTTACACTTAAAATAACAAAGCCATTATTTTAAATGTTTATGACTCTTTCCTAAAGCCAAAGTTTCTGTTGAAATATGTATTGACACGCCCCTTAAGTACAAGGTGGCATGGTTGTGTATGCGTGTCACCTTCTTCAGGATTCAAAAACAGGTTTCTGATTTTGAATAGCAATTAGTAACGTAGTGCTGTTTAAGATATTAATAATTAAATAACATTTTGTACAATTTCCATATAGTCTATTCATTAAGTAATCTTTTTACAGTTACATCAGGCCTGGACCCATTCATTCAGAAATCTTCAAATTATAGAAACAATACTGTTCTATATGAGTGACCAATTATGCTTTCTTTGGCCTACATTCTATATTCTGCTGTGAAGTTGAGGCTTATAAGTCAAAACAAAGGAACTAACTTACTATTCACCAGTTTATACAGAACTCACAGTATCTGACCTTTTAAAACTAAGATCTGTTAAGAAGAAATCTGTTTCAACAGACGACCGTGTTCAATACCATGTGGTGAAACTGAATTCAGGCTTATTAAATGACGAACTTGTTAAATCCTCTCGGTGTCTATTTATCAGCACAATACACACAGGAGAACTGTTGATGGCATATTGAATAGATTTTAATGAATAAATTGCTCTGGAAACCACACACACACAAAAAAAAAACAGAAAGGAAAAGAAGAAAAAGAAACTGCCTAGTGTAAACTAGCTGACTGCTTTTGGCAGAGGAATCAAAAATGCTTGGCCAAATTTAGACGTGCAAGCTTGGGCCCAGGGAAGGGGGCTCACTGCAGTGACCACTAAAAGGCAACTCCCAGGAGTAGAAGCCACAGCTGGCAAAATTTAAAACAGGCACAAGGCCAGCAGACAGATCAACTTTTACTTGCAAAAGGATACATGAAAAATTTCTTTAAATTTTGCGTTATTGACCCGGGCGTGGAAAAGCAGATCTCCAGGCATGCATGGGTCTGGCTAATCTGTCTGGTGCTGACATGCATTGGTCTGGCTACTCTGGAAGGCAATCTGATGCTTCTATTGAATTTAAAATGTGGACACCTGCTACTACCAGTTTTGCTTTTTTAAGAATATAGATGTTCGCCATAAAACTCTTAGAAGAAAACATAGGCAAAAATCTCTTGAATATAAACATGAGCAACTTTTTCCTGAACACATCTCCTTGGGCAAGGGAAACAGAAGCAAAAATGAACAGGTGGGATTACATCAAACTAAAAAACTTCTGTACAGCAGGACAAAAAGTCATCCTACAGTCTGGGAGAATATATTTGTAAATGATTTATCCCATAAGGGGTTAACATCCAAAATGTTTAAAGAATTCATACGCCTCAAACCAAAAAAACAAGTAACCCAATTAAAAAAAGGGCAGGAGGACCTAAACAAAGACACTCTCCAAAGAAAAAATATAGATGACCAACAGGCACATGAAAAGATGCTCCACATCGCTAATCATCACAGAAATGCAAATTAACACCACAATGAGATATCACCTCACACCAGTAAGGATGGCCAATACCCAAAAGAAACAACAAATGCTGGCGAGGATGTGGAGAAAGGGAAACCCTCCTACACTGTTGGTGGGGATGTAAATTGATTCAACAGTTGTAGAAAGCAATATGGAGGTTCCTCAAAAAACTAAAAATAAAAATACCATTTAACCTGTAATTCTACTCCTAGGAATTTATCCAAAGAAAACAAGATCCCTGATTCGAAAAGACTTATGCACCCCTATGTTTATCGCTGCACTATTTACCAAGATATGGAAGCCAAGATATGGAAGCAACCTAAGTGTCCATCAATAGATGAATGGATAAAGAAGATGTGGTACATATACACAATGGATTATTCAGTCTTAAAAAGAAAAGAACTCCTGCTATTTGCAACAACATGGATGGATCTATAGGGTATTATGCTCAGTGAAACAGCCAGGCAGAGAAAGATAAATACCAAATGATTTCACTCATTTGCAGAGTACAAAAACAAAGCAAAACAGAAGGAACAAAATAGCATTAGCCTCATAATGAGAGGCCAAGAAGGGACTAGTGATACCTAAAGGGGAGGGGCTGGGAAGGGTGGGTGAGGAGGGAGGGAGAAGGGGATTAAGGGGCACTACAATTCGCAGTCACAATATAGGTGGGTCATGGAGACAGTAACACAGCAGGGATAATACAATTAAAGGCTCTATAACATCTTACTATGTTTATACAGTGACAGCAATGGAGTAAAGACTTGATGATATGGGAGAATGCTGACCCACTGTGTTGTGTATGTGAAATTATCAGATTGTATATCAATGATACTTTAATTTTAAAAAAAACATAGATGTTCATGTTTTTGCATGCAAAGAGTGTCCCTAGGATACAAAAAAAGGGAGTATTTGCTGCCTCCAGGGGTGACAGAAGCAGGGAGAGACCTTACTTTTCACCTCTTACTATTTTGCATACCTTGAATCCTTTGTATGTATTATTATTTTTAAAAATGAACTCCTGTGGGGGGGACTTGATAACATGGGTGAATGTAGTGACTGAAAGGGTATCTCGCCGCGACCCTCCTGACCCAGAATGACTCAGGAGACACAGGCCCACGCAAGAGATTTATTACCTGAAAGAGAAAGTGGCTACCCCTAGCTAGAGAGAGAGAGAGAGAGAGCAGCAGCGTGGTACAGAGTTGTTGTGGCCGGAGTACTGCTGGTCCTGTTGCCTTGGGGTAGGGCCAGGATGTTTAGAATTTTAGAAATAAGGTGGGGCAAGCCCAGGCATAATTCTCACCAGCTTATGTGCTTGGGGCCATGGGGTAAATGGAGGATAAATTACTATATTCTTGTAGTGACCACAATGTTGCTCTTGTGAAAAACCTTCATAAGATTGTATATCAATACCTTAATTTTTAAAAAATGAACTCTTTATTCTGTTTAAATGCACACACTGCCTGACCAAGTAATGCCTCATTTTTGGAATTTACTCTAGAAAAACACCGGTTTCTGATAGCATTGTTTTAACAGCAAAAAATAGGGATAAAACCCTCAATAACCACTGATAAGATAACAGCCAGGTACATAGAAACTAAGGACAAAGTAGATCAAAAGATACCAACATAGGCAATTCTCAAGACCTGCAGGAAAGAGTGGAAAATTATATTTTGCTGGTAAAAGACAAAAAAAAAATCATTGGATCATACTAACACTTACTGAGCACCTATTCTTTGCCAAGGGCAGTGCTCAGCATTGAAGTAGAGCGCTCAGACCGTATCTGGTCGGGCAGCAGTCTCCTCCAGAAAAAAAAAATGTCTTGGTCAATATCTTGTTGCAAGGGGTTTGAGCCAAGATTCAACACGGCCTGACTCCAGAGTCCACTCTCTGCTCTTACAATGTTGCCCTTTCCTTCCCCAAAATGCAAGAGATGGAACGAATCTGAAAATTAAGTTGACTCTAAAATGACTTCTCCGTGAAAACTCAACAACAACAACAATAACAGACAATGTAATTATCAGCTAGCGTTTAGCGTATGCTGACTGTATGCCAGACATTGCTCTAAGCTCCTTTCCCTGCACCATCTCGGTTCTCCCCATTTGGAGGAGGAAACTGAGGCCGGGAGGTTGCAGAGGAAGGAGCACGTACGCCACGCGGCCGGGATGCGCCCCGGACCGCCTGGCTCGAAATATGCGATAGCAGGGGTGGTGCTCGCGGCCAAGCCTCCCGCCAGCCGCCCAGGCCCGCCCGACAGCCCCGCATACCGTGTAGAGCGTCAGGTCGACGTGTCGCCACAGCCACCGGTCGTCCACCAGCCTCTTCCAGCGGTGACAGACCCTGGGGAAAAGGACCCGCCGTTAGAACGACCCCGGCCCCGGGGACCGGATCCACCCCCCGCCAGCCCTTCTCCCTCGCGAGGCGGGGCCGCACCTAGACATGCGGATCCGGTCCCGAACCGGGAGGTAAGAGAAGACCTCCAGCAGGACCGAGTCTGGCAGCTCGGCAAACGCCGCCATAATTCCGCCGACACGTACGGCTACTTCCGGCTGAAGGGATTCGAGATCTCGTTGCGGGGACGGTGGCCACGGTCTCCAGAGACTTGCAGTTTTCCTTCTGCCGGGACAGGGGTGAGCAGCCGCCCCAGACTAGCGCGACCTCATCTAGCGGAGAAACGGGCGAGGAGCCCGGACTTCACCCGAAAGGCGTAGCCCGGGAGGTGACGAACCCTGGGGCGGGGCAAAGGGCGGTGACGAGCCCTTGGGGGACGGGGCTGAGGAGGTGAAAAACTCGGGGGCGGGGCCAAGAGCCGGGAAGAGCTCGGGGGGCGGGGCTCCCGCCGTTTGAGTCTTTCCCCTTGCAGTCTCTGTCACTGCATTACAAGGACCTCTTTTCTTTTCTTTATTCATTTTCCCCCTTTATCAGACTGAGTTCTGAGGTGGCAGGTCGGCTTTGGTCACTGCCATATATCCAAGGCCCGATGACAGGCTGAGATGTTGGGGAAGGGATCTCCTGAGCAACTGCCTGCACTCCTAGGATTATTTGCCCTCTTATATATACCGTGTAGAGCGTATTTATGAATCCCGAATGGGGAGGCTGCCTTTAAGTTCGGCAGAAACCAGGTGTCCCTGTCCCTGGCTCAGTTACAGGGGTTTCCTAAGAACATCTCCTGCCCAACCAGGCAGGATGGGTGGAGAGGAGGGAACACCACAAATATGCTCTTTCTTCTGGGTCAGAAACCCCAGGAAACAAGGGGAGAGAGGAGGCCTGCCCAGCTGGCTCCTCGGTTCCTGATCCAGAATTCACCTTCCTAGGAAGCATCTACCTCCTCCCAGGAGCAGCTGACTGCAGATCCTTCTACCACCCAGACAGGGGAACAGGTCTGTCCTGGCTCCTTGGACAGCAGTCACTGAGTCCTTCCATGGGAAACCCCAAATTCTCACCACCAGGATGTGAAGAGGGATGTCTTAAGGTGAAATGTCTTGTCTCGTTGGACTATGTCCCCTCCTGCCTGGGTCCAGGGCAAGTAATCCATGCAGCAGTGGTAACGTAGCCCTGGGACTTCCCACCACCAACACCCTCAGGATGGCTCAGCCCTGCTGGGACTGGCAGCCCTGGGGAGGGATCCCCACCACTCCACATGTAGCCCAAGCTCCTACCAATCCCAGACTTTTTCCTCCCCTTTCAGCAGCCCTCCCACCCTTTCCAGCCCACCAGTCTATAACAGCGTCATGACCCTGTGCCTGAGAAATATTTAAATCAAACATTGATTTAAATAAATGAAAAGGTCTATGTTTAAATCAAACATAGACCTTCTGGTTTTTGTTTGTTTGTTTTTTTTGAGAGGGCATCTCTCATATTTATTGATCAAATGGTTGTTAACAACAATAAAATTCTGTATAGGGGGGTCAATGCTCAATGCACAGTCATTAATCCATCTCAAGCCTAATTCTCGTCAGTCTCCAATCTTCTGAAGCATAACGAACAAGTTCTTACATGGTGAACGAATTCTTACATAGTGAATAAGTTTTTACATGGTGAACAGTACAAGGGCATTCATCACAGAAACTTTCGGTTTTGATCACGCATTATGGACTATAAACAATCAAGACCTTCTGGTTTTAAAAGCTAACATTTACTTTTATCCCCAGTTACTAAAGTAATTTACGCTCACTATAGATAACCTGGGAAAACACCTAAAAGCACCAGAGGACTATGAGACTCAGCAATTCTGCCATCTAGTGGTAACCACCAAAACTTGTGTGAGCCAGTATTTCTGTGAGCGCAAAGATGTGCACTTCCTGACTTAAGCACAACATCCATCCCTTCAGTTCACCCTTGACCTTCCTATCTCCCCTCTTGCCTGTTTTCCTACAACTCTTAGAGGCCTGGCCCAAGACCAATCCTACTAGAATCCTGGGGTGGGAACTGCTATCCCAGTTCCATAGATGAGGAAATGGGAATCAGGGCAAGTGTGTTGCTTGAGATCATCGAGCTTAATATTAAGGAGTAAGGCTGGGGTTTTGACTCATCTGTCTTCATCCAAAGCCTGTTTCTCCAATCTCAATAAGCTTTCCATTCAGATTCCCTACTCTCTTAAACCACCTTAAAGGGACTCTGCAGAAGTAAGAGGAATGACAGGTTCTGAGTCAGGAAGGCCTTTGAACTTAGTGTGAGTGGTGGGACCTCTTGGGCCAGCTCCCTAAAGCAGGCCAGCCCTACCAGGGTTTCTGGGTACCCGCCTTCTCCACAGGACAGCTTCTGTTTTCCACCTGATCTCACAACCTACTTTGAGAAGGTGGATTGGGTGAATCTCAAGTAGTGGCCTCTTTTCAGAGTGAATCCCTTTAGGCTCACCAAACTGGGAAGATCCTGTCTTCTGAGAAGGAACAGTTGAACAGTTCCATTGGCAGCTGGTTGAGCTCAGAGAGGAGTACCCCTTTCCCACCGGCCCTGGGGAACCAGAGCAGTCCAGGGGCTGCTTTGTGGCTAAAAGACAAGGTTGAGACCTGGTGCCTCCTGCAGGACGCAAGCGACCTTCCTTGCAGATACTATAGGCGGGGCGATTTTGCACTTCAGCGGTTTACAGCTTCCTCGCCTGTGTTGCAGGTTAGCGTGCAATGCAGATTCTAACAAGTGCTGGTCTCCAGTACAGAATCAGGCGAGTTCCTTCGCTTATGGTGTCTGCACGCCAGATGTCCCAGGTTGCAGGCACGATAATCAAAGGGGAGGGGTGAGCAAAACGCTTCCGAGGCCCTCAGTGACTACAGGGGCCGGGCGGGATGACTGCAGGACTACACCCAGCTCCCGTAGCCCCGAAGCTGCAGTAAGAGGCTGCGTCGGGCTCGGGAACTGGTGGTCACCCCCCACCCTGCCAACACACAGACACACACACGCACACACACACGACGTCCTCTGGGTCCCCCTGACGTCCCCATTGGCCGGCGTCTCCCCACGGCGAAGGGGACCTACCAACCGCTTCCAAAGGCCTAAGCCCCTGACCTCTGACTCTCACTGAACGTCCCTTCCCCGGCCCCGGACGGCCGGGACCCCCACTTGGCCCCACGCACTGACCGCAGGTGTCCCCTGCTCAGGTTAGGGACCCCAAAGTCGCGCACCCGCAAGCCCATTACCAGCTGGAGTCTAGGACTTACTAAGCCAGGTGTTGAAGGGACTGGGGGCGGGTCTTCCGGTTCCGCGCACTTCCACTTCCGCTTCTCTGGGTTCCTCTCTAGCCTGGAGTGAAGGGGGTTGTGGCGTCGGCTGGTTCCCGGCGATTCGAGGTGAGGAGGCCAGGTCGAGAGGCCCGGAGTCGGAGAAAGCTGTGGGGGACCCGGCCTTCGAGGGCCTGCAAGAGACGAGGCCGAACTTCAAGCGACCGACGGGGAAGGTGCGGCCGCAAGGGACTTGGGGCCCGGGGTTACTCGGATCTGGGGTTTCGAGGGTGAACGTAAGACTCACACCTGGGATCTTGGGCCCTGGGAGCCCCCTGAAGCCCTGACTCTGCCGCCTCCCAACCCCCACCCTGTGTAGCTCCAGGCAGGATGATCGAGGTTGTTTGCAACGACCGTCTGGGGAAGAAGGTCCGCGTAAAGTGCAAGTATCCTCCGGCAGCCGAGAAGCAGTAGTCCTAGGGGTGCTTGGCAACAGGCAGGCAGCCCAGTCTGTGTTGTAGATGATTTTAGTTAAACCCGGGAGAGGGGCGGTGGGGTCCTGGCAGAGTGCATTCAGCCCAGGATGCCCTCTTGCGCGTTTTATCTTCTCCTTCCGTTTTCCTTAACTTCTCCGCGCCCAGCACTGATGACACCATCGGGGACCTTAAGAAGCTGATCGCAGCCCAAACTGGCACCCGTTGGAATAAGATCGTCCTGAAGAAGTGGTGAGTGAGGTGGTAGAGCTGGGGGCTGAACAGGACCAGGCTACAGATTTGGATTGGGGGAGCCCAGCAGACAGCCCCTTGCTGAGGCCCAGCTTCCTCAGCTTGCCTCCAAGGTGAAGAGCCATCTTAGGCTTCTGTCTGAAAAGTTTTTATCCCACAGGTACACGATTTTTAAGGACCACGTGTCCCTGGGGGACTGTATCCTTTCTGTGATTTCTTGAGGAGGCATCTACATTCTCAGACTTGGCTCTCTGTTCAGTGCTGGAGTCTATGAGATTGATTAGGCCCATAAGGTGTTTAGTTAAACTTAATATGTGGCATATGGTAAGCATTTAGAAAGTGGGAACCATATTATTTTGTTGGGGGGAGGAGGGTGGCTGACTGGTGAAATATTTTAACCAGGCTTAGAAGACACTTTAAGGTCAGTGTATTTATTACTGAATTCCACCTGAGTGTGGACAGGAGGTCAGGGTGGAGTGAGACTCAGGCATGTCTGTTATGCAAAAAGAGCATAGGCTTTGTTATAGTTTGGATTCTCTCCAAATCAAAATGACCCAGTCCAAAATGGCTTCTTGGCCCTGGGCAGAACCCACAGGCCATCCAGACCTAGCTCTGAGAGATGAGAGAGATGGGGATGGAGCCCACAGTGACGATTCCTTAACACTTACTTCAGATGAAATCCATGATGGGATGAACCTGGAGCTTTATTACCAGTAGAGCAGAATTCCTGCCCCCTCCTCTGTCCTGTCCTGCCCTCCCCTCTTATCCCCATTCCCCCACACTGGTATGGATGCTTGTTTTTAAAAATTCATGTTAATAAAGACTTAGAATCTGCTTCATTGTTGTCATCTTTGAGTGAGGGCTGTCAGACATGGGGAGAGTTGATGTCTGATTGTCACTATGCTCTCAGCACTCAGCTGGTCATTAAGAGCTCAAGATCAACTGAATCAATGAGGGAAGAGTAAGCCAGCCAACTGGGAGCCTGAGTAGAAACCCAGAGCTCTGGGGCTTGCCATGGGTCTCTGAAGGTCAAGAGTAATCAAGAGATTACTAGAGATTCCTATCATCCCAGTAGACCAAGGAGCCTCTTGGTAAAGATGAGATGTAGTCAGGAATACAGGTTCTGGGTTCAGACTGACTATGGGTGGAATCCCAGCTCTATCACCAATGGTGACCCTGGGCAAGTTACTGAACCTCCCTAAGCCTTCATCTCCTTATCCGAACAGGAACTGATGGCGTTTTAATTTCATTGGCATGTAGTGAAGTGTAGATGGCATAAAGCATGGTTAAACATCCACAGTTCCTGACACTTATGAAATCCTAGTGGACAAAGCAAGACAGTGTAGCATAGGCTGAACTTTGACCAACTGTTAGCAGTGGCATTTGGTGAAGTGACCCTCTCTGACTCTCTAAGAGCAGATGAGATAATACATCACAATGAGATAATACAGTAAAACAGCAGGATGCCTGGCACACAGTGTTACTGTCTCCAGGCTTCTTCCCCCAGGTGTGAGTAGACAGGACACCAAACACCCATCTCTGGTCCCCTGGTCACAGATCCTAGGGTTTCCCTTAACCCTGTTCTTTCCCAGAGCTACATTGTGGAGCCCTTCTGAAGGGCTTCTCCTAGAACCTTGCTCCATCCTTCCCTGTACTGAACTGGCAATCCTCCTGGGTGTAGAAACAGGTTCAAATCCAGCCCACTGCTCATTCCCTTCCTCCCAAGCTCCGCCCAATCTGCCTGCCAAATTTCTTGGGAGGTGGACCCACCAGCTGCATAGGATGCTGGTGGCCTGGATCCCTCAAGGGTAGTCTCTCCTTGGTCCCTGCCAGCCCTCTTGGCTTCCCTCCTGTCCCTGAACTCCGCGTCCTCCTGCCATGCCAGAAGTGGCTTTCCTGGTACTCTCCCTCTTCCTAATCATAGAGCTCAGTCTCCTCCTTACCTGCTTTAAAACAAACCCAAGAAATTTTTTCACTACATGACAGCCTTAACAAGGTGATTCCTTATTAATTTCAAAGTATTTATTCATTATAAAGGGGAAAATAGTAAGTGATCAAAGTTAATATCACAAGTGTGGTAGTCAGACTGAAGATGGCCACTAATGATCCCCAAGTTCTGGTATTCACACCCTTGTGTAATACCTTCTTGAGCATAGACTAGACTAGCTTCTAACAAATAGAACATGACCAACGTGATGGGATATCACTTAAGAGGTTGTTGCAAAGACACTCTGTCTCACTTTCTTGCTTTCTCCCTTGCTCATTGATGAAAGCCAGCTGCTATATGGAGAGGCCCCCAGCTAATCATGAAGAACTGTGGTCCTCAGTCCACATCCCCTTAGCCACTGAATCCTGCCAGCAACATGAGTGAGTTTGGAAGCAGATCCTGCCACATTAAAGCCATCAGATGAGACCACAGCTGCTCTGGCTGGCACCAGTTAAACTGTGCCTGATTCCTGACCTGTAGGAACTGAGATAATAAGTGTTAACCCACTAAGTTGTGCAGTAATTTGTTATGCACCAATAGATACCTTAGTACAACCAGTAATACATTGCAACACCATTACCTGTTTTGGTGCATTGAGGAAGCACATAGTCTCTGTGAGAGCCTTTCTGATAATGCATAACCTCAATCTAATCATGAGAAAATACCAGACAAACCCCATCATGACAAAACAGAATGAGGGCCATTCTACTAAAAAGTATAAAAGTCATTGAAAGATAAGACCTAGAAATTGTCACATATTGGAGGAGATTAAGGAGTAATGACAGTGTGGTTCTTGGAACATAAGAAGTAGTGGTAAAATGGAGGAAAGTGTTTAAGTCTAGTTAATAGTGTATCAATGTTTACTTCTTTTGATAATTCTAGGGCAGGGCTTCTCAGGTTTGTCACTGCTGTCATTTGGGGCTGCATAATTATTTGTTATGGAGGCCATGCATCGTAAGATGTTCAACAGCATCCTTGGCCTCTACCCAATAAATGCCACTAAATCCCGTGCCCCTTCAATTTGTAACAACCAAATGTCCTCTGGGGAACAAAATCACTCCTCCTTGAGAACCTCTGATCTATTCTGTAAGGTGATACTATAAGGGAGGCTGGGTGGAGAACATTTAAAAACTTCACAACTACTATTGCAACTCAGCCCCTATTTTACTAAGCCCCTTAGATTACTGTTGCAAATCTAAAATAATCTTTTTTTTAAGAAGATTACTATTATGCTAATCTTGGAAAAAAATCAAGTGTTCTGTTAAAAGTTAAGTTCCTCTGTTTTGTTGCCCTTGTCTGGCTTGGATTAATACTTAGTCCATAGGCACACACCTGATCATCTACATTTGCCCTCTTACAGCACTAAACTATGTTTTCTACCTTTATCTTGCATCTACCTACCACTTCAGCATTTTATTAAAAATAAAAATAATAATAATAATAATAAAGGGAGAAATGTGGGATCCATATATAAATCAAGTATAAAAATCAAACGAATATTCATATTTGACCTGATTGTTTATAGTTTATAATGCGTGATCAAAACCGAAAGTTTCTGTGATGAATGCCCTTGTACTGTTCACCATGTAAGAATTTATTCACTCTGTAAGAATTCGTTCACCATGTAAGAACTTGTTCGTTATGCTTCAGAAGATTGGAGACTGACGAGAATTAGGCTTGAGATGGATTAATGATTGTACATTGAGCATTGACCCCCCCTATACAGAATTTTATTGTTAACAACCATTCGATCAATAAATATGAGAGATGCCCTCTCAAAAAAAAAAAAAAAGTTCCTCATTTCTTCCTTTACCTGCACCACCAGTGGTAGTCATTAACGTATTTGAATGAAACCAGAAAATTTTGTTATAATCTAGTTTGTATACAATTGAGGTAATTATACATACTCTAATATGCATACTGTTCCACAGGTTGCCTTTTTTATGCTTTTTTAATGCTTTAATATCTTTGTTTTGTTTTGTTACACTTACATACTACAATTGCTATGCTGTACTATGAATTGCTTTTTTTCACCTGACAGATAGGTATCCTTGCTGTGGGCCAGACACTGTTTTGAGTGTTTCCTATAGTGCTCATTTAATCTTTGCATCAAAGGTGTGTTTGAGATATGTATTATTTCTTCTCCTCCTTTGCAGATGGAGAGGTAGAAACGCAGAGACTAATTTGTTCAAGATCATAGCAAATGGTAGAGCCAGGCCTTGAACCCAAGCAGTCTGGCTCCTGAGTGCTCTTTACCTTCTACCACCTCCTGACTAATTGCTTGTGGACATGTTCCCTGTGTTTCATGTCACTGCGCTTCACCCTTTTTAACAATCACATAAAGGCCCATGTTATAGATGAACTGTCACTGAAATCTTCCCGACTGATGTCTTTACCTCCCATATCTATCTCCAGCCCTGGGTCCCCAAGCACCTCCTCAGAGCCCCACAGGTGCTGCAGACTTAATTTTAAATCAATTCAAACTGAGCTCATCCTCCTCCCACCCGCGCCTCCTCCAGTGCCCCCCCACCATCTGAGTGGCAAGGCCAACACCCATCAGTCGCCCAGGACGGAGGCTGAAGGCAGACTGAAAGGGAATAAATAGATTCCAAAGGAAATGGAGTTTGTTTGGGTCAGTGGCATAGGGAAAGGGTTAGCGTTGCAAAAAATAAAAGGAGGTGGGTTAGCTTCGGACTTCTGGAAGAAACAGGTGGGAAGAGGGAGGATCGAAGAGCCAAATTTAGGCTTCTGGGTTCTTAGCTGCTCATCACCAAGGCAACTCGTTGCTATAACAACAGCAAAGGCCGCACCGCCCTTCTCAGGTACCTTGGCTGCCGTTACCTCCTTACCAGCCAGACATTTCCGCCTGGGGAGCTTGCGGGCCTCCGGGAACGGCGTAGCAAGACGCGAATTGCTAGTGCCGTAGCCAATCGGATGAGCTCTGCGGCGAAGGACGCAAAAGAGGGTCGGACTTTTTGAAACTTGCCAAAAGGTGCTGTGGGGGGCGGGCTCGCGTCCCTTCCCCGCCATTCAGGGGCCCGGGAGAGGAAAGGGCGGGGCCCGGGTTAGGCCGACAGGGGGCGGGCGCAGGAAAAACGTGTGGAGGGTCCGCCCGCTCTCGCTTCTGCCCAATAGGAAGCCAGAAAGCCAATCGGGACAGTTAGGGTGCCCAATGAGCGTTACCAAAGGGCCTCGGAGCGAGGCGCGCCAAGCCAATCGGAGGCTGCGGTGGGCGGGCACAGTTAGCTCCGGCGGTGCTACGGGCGCGAGGCGGGCGCTGCGGCAGGAGGGAAGATGGCGGACGAAGAGAAGCTGCCGCCCGGCTGGGAGAAGCGCATGAGCCGCAGCTCAGGTGCGCGGGGGTCGGGGCTGGGGCGGGGCCGCGCGGGCCGGCGGAGGCAGGGCTCGAGCTCGCCCCTCGGGCGTGGCGCCCCCGGCCGATTCCCGGGGGTCTGGGCTCCTCTGCGTTCTCCCGACGAGACCGCCCCGGCCAGCCCCATGGGGGCTGCGAGCCTCAGGGGCGGAGCGGGGAAGCCCGAGGAAACTGAGGCAAGGGGCGGGGCCGAAGAGGCCCAGTGCGCCGCCCGGGTGGAGGGGGGGAGGGGCCGGCGATCCCTCGGCACACCCCCGGGTAGTGGCCGTGGCCCTGGCCCTGGCCCTGCCGATCCGGCTGACACCTTGTGGCTTGATGCACCTGACGTGTTGAGGAAACGTCTGTGCACCCTGCTGGGCCCGGGGGTCACCCCAACCCCACGCTAAGGGCGCGGCCTCAGGGTTGCGGGGCCTCCGATCCACAACCTTCTCTTCCTAACATGCCTGCCGCGCACACCTAATGCTGAGTCTGCGAT